ACTGCCAGAACCTTGTACTTTAACACAAATTTTGCGTTTAACCGTGAGCGGACAAGTCTCTCGAGTGTCCACACAGCGGGTAAGAGTTAAAGATAGTTTACTTTATCAATTTGAAATTACTGACCCCTAAAATTCCGATGAGAATTTAACAGAATAGTTTAAGTTTGCCTCGCGCTTAACTTCCTACTTTGATGTAAATGTACTTTCAATTTCCTGTTTGTTTCAACAGCAATCTTTCAAGAGTTCGACTCAAAATGGCGTATCACTTCTTCGTCATATTCGTCTTGCTGAGTTCTGCTTTTGGTAGTCCTGTTCATAAGAACCACGAACGAGGAAAGGATTTTACTTTTTCTTCTAAAAAGGTATGCTTTTTATCTCTCTGCTTGGCTTTTACTATCATTTTAATAACATTTTAATAAACCGGTCGATACTTTTGTAATGGAAATTGTCGTTGTTCGTGTAATCTTCTTTATGTGAACATTTTGTCGTCGCTCACATTGCAATGCATATTCCAAGATTCAGTACTTTGACAAGGCTGACTCTTGAAAAAGTCGGCATACTACTCAGTCAAGTAAATTAGCTCAAACTCTGTCATTTTGTTACAACGAGGTCGTGGATTTCACTATTCACATCAGCGAGGCTGGTGAAGAATACAACGAGAAGATCGAGGTGAACCCAAACAAGCGAACAGAATTGTTTCAAGTTCCCGCTCATCCTGGAGTGGATCGCAGTGACACCTTACATGACTTCAAACAAGTAAGCTTGTTTCACAACAAGTTTCTTTTTCTTTTCTCTGCTTATGAAAGAAAGTTAACTTTAAGATTCAGTACCACATAGAAGGAACATGGCGGCGAAGGCTTTGAGAAATCTCACAGTGTTTGAAATGTGAATCTATTTCAAGAGTCTTTCAGTTTTCGCGGATAATGCTTCGCACTGGTCAAGCATTTGTTCCTTTTCAAATGAAAACAACATTTTCTGTTCTCTGTTTTCATCTAAAATGCATGTTTACAGGATGAATACAAACATGTACATTTTCTCTCTCCCCTTCCTTTAAGATAATGTGAGTCCGTCTCTGTTTCATTTCGCGTTTTCTCTCATTTCTTGTCCTATGAAAACGTTTCTTCAATTAATAAACTCGATTACCCGTTACTAGTTTTGTTTACTAAAGCCGTTGGGTAATAACGTTGCTCTCTAAACTTTTTCTGCTCTAATTTTTCAATTGATATTTTTTCTCACAGAATTTGAGCATGTTGCGATTTCCGCACGACAAGATTTGTTTTCTCTTCCCTCTTGCGAAGGAACAATCGGCGCCTGAGAAGCTGATGAGAGATCTTGAGAAGGCCAAGCAGGTAAGAACACAAATGTGTTCAAAAACCGGTTCGGTTAAAAAAATAAATAAATAAATAAAAATTATGTGAAAATACATGCACAAAACTGGACTGCCTTTCTGACCTTTCTACAGAAAACTGAATTTAAATTGGTCAACAGTCCAGTAGAATCTAGCAGATTCTAGTAAGTATTATCTACAAATCAAGTTTTTGCCCTAATAAGACCTCCTTATGTCCTCTCTAGTTTAGACTATCACCTATTTAAACTACTGTGCAAGTATCTGGGAATCCACTTACCAATCAAATCTCAAACGTTTAATTACACTTCAGAAACAAGCTATTAGGATAATTTCGAGAACTGCTTTTAATGCACATACTAATTCCCGCAGCACTAAAATTCAAAATGCCTGTGGTATTCCTGTGTTCACCTTTAAACTTAAGTCACCTTTCTTGGTGTAAGTATATTTTACTTCTCTTAGTCTGCTTTTGTCTGCTTGTTATTGTCCTCCTTCGCTTTTGCGCATTTGCGCGTTTAGCTTTCCTTAACCACTTTTTATCCTAACTTATGATCATTTTGTGTGCCTATGACAGCATTTTTATTCTTTCGTTATAGATATATTTAAGGTAGTCCTTTACATAAGGCAAATTGGCTTCCCTGGGCTTCCTTGCCTTATAGATTGATATTTTGTAAACATATTTATAAATCGCAAGTAAAAACAAACAAGCAACAGTTTGCACATTTGAACAGGGGTCAATATCTGCTGACACCAATTTTATTTTCCGTTCATTCCATCAGATGGTTATTACAGAGACCAGGCGGGTTGATACCACTTGGATTTTTAACGGTGAACTGACTGATCGTTCTGCACTTAGTGACGAGTTATCAGATTTTTGTGCACAGTATCCGATATACCACGTGAAAAAAACGCAAGAGAGTCTGGAGGTGATAGGAATCCAAACAAAAGGTGAGGTGATAGAATTTTCAGTACTTACTATAAATTTAACATTCCCTACTGGGGCCGCAAATCTTGGTTTTTAAAACACTGTACGTAGAGAAGTCTTTGTTAAGATCACGGACTGTCAAATGTTGCATGTTTAACTGAATTAGTTTTTCAAACGTACTCCTCCTATCCAAAGATGTAGCAGTTATTTTCCGTGACTTCATTACTAGCTACAATTTTCTTCCGCTATTTGCCAATCAGAGTGTGCACCGCATTAAAAAAATATGTTATAAAAATATTTAGGGGACAATTTTCTTAGTTTTCTTACGTCACACCAGAGGAACATCACCAAAAACTTGACCACTGATTAGACCTGCCTTCTCCTCTTTTGCGGAAAAGCAAATGAATAACAGAATACAACATGCAGATATTTTGTTTATTGGCCATGATAAGCGTTCAGTAGTGGCTGTTTACCAATATTGTAGAAAATTATTTTGACAATACACAAGTTTAATAGCTTTTTAGTCTCTCTTGTTACGACGTCTTCGCATACTACATTGCTGACCAGCCATGCCCCATTACCCAGATTTTGCCGATCTTTTTTTAGTGGGATTATCTTTACTTCCCTTCACTTCTGACTTCAGTTGGGTAGATGATTTGATTGACCACCTCTCTGGTTCTTTTGCAGAAAGAGCGCATCGTACTCGAAGACAAGCTAGCACGGGCCTGAACGGCACTGACTTTGTTCTGGTGGCATGGAGCTGAATACTGCCAACCAAATATGTCCCGAGCCTGAGTTGAAAATCAACAAGTACAGCAGCTGTGTCAAATACATCGAGTGTGACGGCCGTCGTATTGGGCGCTTGGCAGATGGAGGTCACGAGAAGTCACATGACCCAGGCTGCAGAGTTGTGCACGGCTATGGCCTTATCAGTGTGTGCTATGAATATATCTGCAACATCGTCAGCATGGATCAGCAGCATTATAATTATCGCAACAATCATCAACAAGGGTCTAGGTCACGCGGGGGGTCTGGTGAAGGGTCAGGACAAGGATCCGACGAGGAAGAATCCAGTGAGGAAGGATCCGGTGAGGAGGAAGGATCAGGAGATGTGTTGGAATGGCTGTAATCAGATTGGACACGGCAATGTCACATTTAGAGCAGTCCATCTTTTCCTTTAGTTCGTCGACCTAGAAGACAAAGAGGTGAAGAGAGGGGAAAAACTGACCGCACAAAAACTGGGATAAGGCGCACAACTTCTCTCAGGGAAGCACGCGGACAGCTCTGGAGACGAAGTCGCCCGCAGTTTTTGCGCGGCCTTTATTTCCTCTTGCGTTTTTCGCTTTTAACTCGACGAAGTAAAGGGACTAAATGAACTGCTCACAATAAATGTTATTTTCAGAACCTGGATTTGAATTATTTTTTGGCGTAAAACGTTATTTTCTTAAAACGTGATTCAGTTTTCAGTTCGCATTGAATTGTGATTTTGTAGCCATCGGCAGGAATTCCGTGAACTAAGTAAAATGTGAAAACTTTAGTTTCATTTTGAATAAAGAATGTTCGACAAAAAGAACTCTACTGTAGTTTGATATTTATACCTAATCGTACCTTTTCTTGTTCGGCGGCATATCAGGCGAGTTCGGTCGAGTCATGATTCGTATTTTAGCTCCACTACGTCTCGCCAAAATACCCATGGCGAGACCAAACGTGCATGATATCCCGCCAAGCGTACTAAAAAAGGCTGCGGCTACGTATTTACCGTACCCAAACTCGGCCAAGTGACCATAATATCGCAGGCATATCAGGTTAGTAAATTGATATCACAGGATATCAAGACAGAAGTCCAACCCATATTTCGTATTCTTGGTATTAGACTGGAAACCGCTAACAAATGAGGCTAATGCAGGGAGCCTCTTTTCAAATACAAGTGGCATTAATCTTTTTAATATTCCTTCGCATGAGCCTCCACTGCAAGCTAGTTCCAGTCTAATACCGGGAAAACGAAATATGCACTATTATGGGATAATCACAACTCACGGGATCTGTAACTCTCCCAGAATGCAACGTGTCATCCAGATTTTAGTACATTTTGCTTTTTGCGAGAAATATTATTTTTTACAGAAAAATCATCATAAGTCCAACAAAGATCACAAAGCGACGACGTCATCAAAGATCATTTATTTTCAACTCAGACCGATTAATCACATTACAACGAAATATAAATATTATATATTATTATCCTCACAACTAAGGTCACCATTCATATTGCAAAGGCAAACAAATGGAAAGTACTCTAAAATTTCAATACCTCAAATCATACTTGTTGAACTCACTTTAAACAATCACAGTAAACTATGACTTGAGGGGTTTTTCTTAACAATACTTTCTGGAGATTGCCAGCGTAGAACGTCTTTGAAATGGCCTTTTCTAGCCTCTTGAGACTGTTCTTCCACGATACAAATGATCGCTTGCGTTTTGTGCGTAGAAGTAAAGGAATCTTTTAACCGGCTTC